AAAGTTTATTCTTTATTAAGATTACCATTAAGTGTAATTTATATCTGTGGTCAGACTTTTACATTTTTCACAACTGTCTGTGAGCTGATCGCGTTACTTGGAAAATCTAATATATAATTAAAGATTAGAAAAAATCGCATTCCTATCACTATTTTGGGATTTTCTGCTATATTATATTTCACTACGCTGTATTTAATGTTATCTACTGTTATAAAATACAGTTATATAGAATGGGGGAAATTCTGAGGGAAGCTGTAACAAGGTGTAATAAATTATAGTCTTTATTTAATGTTATAATAAAGAGTACTATAGAGTGGGGGATATTCTGAGGGAACCTGTAACAAGGTGTAAAAAGTTATAATATTTAATGTTATATAATATAGAGTAATATAAAATGGGGGATATTCTGAGAGAAGCTGTAACAAGGTGTAATAAATTATAGTCTTTATTTAATGTTATAATAAAGAGTACTATAGAGTGGGGGATATTCTGAGGGAACCTGTAACAAGGTGTAAAAAGTTATAATATTTAATGTTATATAATATAGAGTAATATAAAATGGGGGAAATTCTGAGGGAAGCTGTAACAAGGTGTAATAAGTTATAATATTTAATGTTTTATAATATAGAGTAATATAAAATGGGGGATATTCTGAGGGAAGCTGTAACAAGGTGTAATAAATTATAGTCTTTATTTAATGTTATAATAAAGAGTACTATAGAGTGGGGGATATTCTGAGGGAACCTGTAACAAGGTGTAAAAAGTTATAATATTTAATGTTATATAATATAGAGTAATATAAAATGGGGGAAATTCTGAGGGAAGCTGTAACAAGGTGTAATAAGTTATAATATTTAATGTTTTATAATATAGAGTAATATAAAATGGGGGATATTCTGAGGGAAGCTGTAACAAGGTGTAATAAATTATAGTCTTTATTTAATGTTATAATAAAGAGTACTATAGAGTGGGGGATATTCTGAGGGAACCTGTAACAAGGTGTAAAAAGTTATAATATTTAATGTTATATAATATAGAGTAATATAAAATGGGGGATATTCTGAGAGAAGCTGTAACAAGGTGTAATAAGTTGCAATCTTTATTTATTGTTATAATATAGAGTAATGTAGAATGGGGATATTCTGAGGGAAGCTGTAACAAGGTGTAATAAGTTATAATCTTAATTTAATGTTATATAATATAGAGTAATGTAGAATGGGGATATTTCTCTGTATTTCCCCAGGAAAGTGGCGATGCATTGATAGTCTTGGGATGTAGGATCACTGAGGGCTTTTTATACTTTTCTTATTAAAGGCTACATTCCTTTTTGATACATACCAACCTACGGTAAGTATGCACGTCGGTGTAGAAGAATGACAATGCTGCTTTTATTGCCATTGGTGCTGACATAACGGCCAGCCTGCAGGGCAGCAGGACTCTCACAAGCTGAGCGCTGCTGAATTCCTTTTGCTCGGGTGTAAGTGCTTTGGAAAAGCTTTGTATAGCGGGCATATTTAGAGACACTCAAACTGCGCTGTATGGGGACAATTCTCTGGAGTCTGCTGAAGTAGAATAACAGGAAAATAAATTATAGGGTGTGACGGGGGTTCAACTTTGTGACTGTCATGTCAGATTCGTGACTGTTGCCAAGTATGCCGTTAGCAGACAGTTTGTCTGGGCTTTCTTTTGTGCATGTTGTGTTCGCTCACAAAATACCCAACACTACATATCCCAAATTTGTTGTACACTGTGTCACATATTATTATTTTATTATTTATATAGCGCCATCAGATACTGTAGCTGTACATTGGGTGGACTAACAGACATGTAATTGAAACCAGAGAACTGGACGTACAGGAACAGGGAGGTGGAGGGCCCTGCTCCATGAGTTTACATTCTAGAGCGAGTGGAGTATAGTGACACAAAGGGTAAAAGTAGGGGTACGAAGTAGGTTGTTAGAAAAGTATTCACTGAGGGCTTAGTAGGTAATTTTTGACGGTTGCAGGAGAGGAGTCATGGAGGGTGGGGGATAAAAACCCGCTAACCGTTTAATTCATATGCTTTATTGAAGAAGTGAGTTTTCAATTATTTTTTGAATGAATGGAGACTGGGTGAAATTCTTATGGAGGAGGGAAGTGAGTTCCGCAGAAGAGGTGCAGCTCTGGAAAAGTCTTGGAGGCGAGCGTTAGAGGTGGGAGTACGGACAGAGGATATACATAAGTCTTTGGCAGAGCATAGGGGTCTTGACGGAACATACTTGTGTATTAGGGAGGATAGGTAGGTTGGAGCAGCATTATGTAGGGACTTGTAAGCAAGCACAAGAATTTTAAATTGAGCCTTATATCTAACTGGAAGCCAATGCAGGGACTGACAGAGCGGGGAGGCATGGGAGGTGCGAGCGGACAGAAAAATGAGCCTCGCCACCGCATTCATTACAGATTGCAGCGGTGCAATCTGGGAACACGTAAGACCACTGAGAAGGTTATTGCAGTAGCCCAGGCGAGAGAGAACAAGAGCATGGACTAGCACCTTAGCCGCATCTGGCGTTAAATAGGGGCGGATGCGTGCTGTGTTTTTGAGATGGAAGCGACAGGATTTGGCGATTGATTGGACATGAGGGGTGAAGGAGAGGTTGGAGTCAAAAAGAACACCCAGGCAGCGAGCCTGTGAGGTAATGGTGATGGTAGCACCGTTGACTTGGAGGGAGACAGACACGGGAGTAGTAAAACTTTAGGGAGGAAAGACCAGAAGTTCTGTTTTGGACAAGTTGAGTTTAAGGAAGTGAACAGCCATCCAGTTGGAAATCGCGGAGAGGCAGTCAGAGACACGAGTCAAGATGGGCAGAGATAGATCAGGAGAGGACAGGTAGATTTGCCTGTCATTATGTCAATGTCCACGGCTCCTGGGGAGTTCCACAGTTTAGGCCACCTTTGTTGTCACTCTTCAGGTTCCTCTCTAGTTTTATGTACGGAATATTTTATGATAATTAGTGATGTCCCGAAGTGTTCGCCGAACGGTTCGCGAATGGTTCGCCGCGGACTCATCATTGAGTAAACTTTGACCCTGTACCTCACAGTCAGCAGACACATTCCAGCCAATCAGCAGCAGACCCTCCCTCCCAGACCCTCCCACCTCCTGGACAGCATCCATTGTGAAGCTGCATTCTTAGTGAGCTGTCCAGGAGGTGGGAGGGTCTGGGAGGGAGGGTCTGCTGCTGATTGGCTGGAATGTGTTTGCTGGCTGTGAGGTACAGGGTCAAAGTTTACGCAATGATGAGTCCGCGGCGAACCGTTCGTGGCGAACCGTTCGGCGAACAGTTCGGGATATCACTAATGATAAAGCTACCATTGCTGACCGACTCCTATAATGGACGTATTTCGAGCAGACTGTGAGTAATGAGTACAGACTGACTAGACGTTATGGATCAGTCCACAACATCCAGAACGCTAGAAACTGTGAGATAAATAAACAGGTCTGTCCCAGGGTGCTAACTCTCTAACTCTAATTTACACGGGAGATTTCAAACAACCCCCGGCCGTGTCTTTTATTCCTGTGCTAGCCTTGGCCGTGTCTTTTATTCCTGTGCTAGCCTTGGCCATGTCCTGTGCTAGCCTTGGCTGTGTCTTTCATTCCTGTTCTAGCCTTGGCCATGTCTTTTATTCCTGTGCTAGCCTTGGCTGTGTCTTTTATTCCTGTGCTAGCCTTGGCCGTGTCTTTTATTCCTGTGCTAGCCTTGGCCGTGTCTTTTATTCCTGTGCTAGCCTTGGCCGTGTCTTTCATTCCTGTGCTAGCCTTGGCCGTGTCTTTCATTCCTGTGCTAGCCTTGGCTGTGTCTTTTATTCCTGTGCTAGCCTTGGCTGTGTCTTTTATTCCTGTGCTAGCCTTGGCCATGTCTTTTATTCCTGTGCTAGCCTTGGCTGTGTCTTTTATTCCTGTGCTAGTCTTGGCTGTGTCTTTTATTCCTGTGCTAGCCTTGGCCGTGTCTTTTATTCCTGTGCTAGCCTTGGCCGTGTCTTTCATTCCTGTGCTAGCCTTGGCCGTGTCTTTCATTCCTGTGCTAGCCTTGGCCGTGTCTTTTATTCCTGTGCTAGCCTTGGCCGTGTCTTTCATTCCTGTGCTAGCCTTGGCTGTGTCTTTCAGTCCTGTGCTAGCCTTGGCCGTGTCTTTCATTCCTGTGCTAGCCTTGGCCGTGTCTTTTATCCCTGTGCTAGCCTTGGCCTGTGTCTTTTATTCCTGTGCTAGCCTTGGCTGTGTCTTTTATTCCTGTGCTAGCCTTGGCCGTGTCTTTTATTCCTGTGCTAGCCTTGGCCGTGTCTTTTATCCCTGTGCTAGCCTTGGCTGTGTCTTTTATTCCTGTGCTAGCCTTGGCTGTGTCTTTCATTCCTGTGCTAGCCTTGGCCGTGTCTTTCATTCCTGTGCTAGCCTTGGCCGTGTCTTTCATTCCTGTGCTAGCCTTGGCCGTGTCTTTTATTCCTGTGCTAGCCTTGGCCGTGTCTTTCATTCCTGTGCTAGTCTTGGCTGTGTCTTTTATTCCTGTGCTAGCCTTGGCCGTGTCTTTCATTCCTGTGCTAGCCTTGGCCGTGTCTTTCATTCCTGTGCTAGCCTCGGCCGTGTCTTTCATTCATGTGCTAGCCTTGGCTGTGTCTTTCATTCATGTGCTAGCCTTGGCTGTGTCTTTCATTCCTGTGCTAGCCTTGGCCGTGTCTTTCATTCCTGTGCTAGCCTTGGCCGTGTCTTTTATTCCTGTGCTAGCCTTGGCTGTGTCTTTTATCCCTGTGCTAGCCTTGGCCGTGTCTTTCATTCCTGTGCTAGCCTTGGCCGTGTCTTTTATCCCTGTGCTAGCCTTGGCTGTGTCTTTTATCCCTGTGCTAGCCTTGGCTGTGTCTTTTATTCCTGTGCTAGCCTTGGCTGTGTCTTTTATTCCTGTGCTAGCCTTGGCTGTGTCTTTTATTCCTGTGCTAGCCTTGGCTGTGTCTTTCATTCCTGTGCTAGCCTTGGCTGTGTCTTTTATTCCTGTGCTAGCCTTGGCCGTGTCTTTTATTCCTGTGCTAGCCTTGGCCGTGTCTTTTATTCCTGTGCTAGCCTTGGCCGTGTCTTTTATCCCTGTGCTAGCCTTGGCCGTGTCTTTCATTCCTGTGCTAGCCTTGGCTGTGTCTTTATTCCTGTGCTAGCCTTGGCAGTGTCTTTCATTCCTGTGCTAGCGCAGCGTGTCTTTCATTCCTGTACTTTAGTCTGGGCCGTGTCTTTCATTCATGTGCTTCTTGCCCAGCTGTGTCTTTCATTCATGGCTAGCAGCAGCTGTGTCTTTCATTCCTGTACTAGCCTTGGCCGTGTCTTTCATTCCTGTGCTAGCCTTGGCCGTGTCTTTTATTCCTGTGCTAGCCTTGGCTGTGTCTTTTATCCCTGTGCTAGCCTTGGCCGTGTCTTTCATTCCTGTGCTAGCCTTGGCCGTGTCTTTTATCCCTGTGCTAGCCTTGGCTGTGTCTTTTATCCCTGTGCTAGCCTTGGCTGTGTCTTTTATTCCTGTGCTAGCCTTGGCTGTGTCTTTTATTCCTGTGCTAGCCTTGGCTGTGTCTTTTATCCCTGTGCTAGCCTTGGCTGTGTCTTTTATTCCTGTGCTAGCCTTGGCTGTGTCTTTTATTCTGTACTAGCCTTGGCTGTGTCTTTCATTCCTGTGCTAGCCTTGGCCGTGTCTTTTATTCCTGTGCTAGCCTTGGCTGTGTCTTTTATCCCTGTGCTAGCCTTGGCCGTGTCTTTCATTCCTGTGCTAGCCTTGGCCGTGTCTTTCATTCCTGTCTTAGCCTTGGCCGTGTCTTTCATTCATGTGTTAGCCTTGGCTGTGTCTTTTATCCCTGTGCTAGCCTTGGCTGTGTCTTTTATTCCTGTGCTAGCCTTGGCCGTGTCTTTTATCCCTGTGCT